GGAAACCTGGAAAGATTTTTATTCGACAAAAAGCGTACGCAACAAAAGTATTGGAGCGATTTGGGATGCTCGACGCCAAGCCTGTCACAACTCCAGCAGAAGGTGCACATTTAAATACAGAGAGCAGTCAACAGGTGCAGTATCCATATCGAGAGGCTGTTGGATCTCTTATGTATCTGTCTACAGTGACACGGCCTGATCTTGCTTATGCGGTGTCGTATGCGAGTCGTTTTTTGGACACTTATACAAGCGAACATATAGTCTTGATAAAGCGAATTTTCAGATATCTGGGAGGGACCCACAGTGAAGGTATTTTATTTGAAAAGGGTAATAATTTGTTTTTGACTTGCTTCAGTGATTCGGACTTTGCTGGTGATTTGGGGACCAGGCGACCTAATGGAGGTTATGTGATCATGTTTTGCGGTGGACCTCTTTCGTGGTCGTCGAAGATTCAGCAAACATTAGCACTCTCAACAACCGAAGCAGAGTACATGGCCGCTTGTGAGTCAGTCAAAAAGCTAGTTTGGGTTCGACGATTACTGGAGGAAATGTCTGGAAATTGCACAGTACCAGAACTTTGTTTGCACAATGTAAGCGCAATCAAACTGGTGAAGAATCCACAATACCACAAGAGGACCAAACATATTGAGGTCACATTTCATTTCATCAGAGAGGTCTATGAGAACAAAGGGTTCACGCTTAAGTACGTGCCCACAAATACACAGCTGGCGGATATTTTCACGAAGCCTCTGAAGAATTTAAATTACAGTAATTTAAAGTCGCTCTTAAAAGTTTGTTAATTTTTTGAAAATGAATAATCTGACCAATAAAAGTGGAAGTGTTAGGCAAACAAACAGCTGTGTTCCTGGCTTTGTTTATTGCATCAGATTAATCGTTATTTTGTCTTCTTTCACGTTCGTATGCAGGCATGCATACATAAATATGTTCATGCAATAGCAATGCTTATATACTTGTACATTTGTTGTTTAATAAATACTCACTCCTATTTCTCATCTTGAAGCATAAAGACTTTTATATTTTTGATTCTCGGCTACATAAAGCAATATTTTGATCCGATTCGGCTGACAGCCACGACTTTGGAAACAGAATTTTGTTCAAAATTTTCATTCATGCAAAATAATAATTTATTTTCCATATCCACATATTTAGCTCGCTATAAGCACAAATTTTTCAAACCAGTCGCAGAAGAAAGTAGTAAAAATCTATTACAAAATCTAAATTCAAAAAAAAAGCTGATGGCGTTACAGGTTCCCCCAATTCTGAAACAGCCAAAGGAATAAAAATGAAGAATTCATTTTAAAAACTTTAGAAAAACCTGAGACATATGGTTTGGCATTTAAGCGTTGTTTAAACAACGATCTCGCCATTATGCTAGTTTCTTCAAGTCAAGATGAAAGTCCGGAGGATACATCCGAAATTTTCGGCCCCGATGCAATTCTCATTACTTTTTATTACATATCGATGGCTGAGTGGAAGATCGACCTATCTCGGCAACTAGTTCGAAAACGCTCTATCTCAAAAAACTTTTCAAGAACGCCCTATTTCAGAATTCGTTTCAAAAACGCCCTATATCAGCATATTTTCAATACATTTTGAAGTGAGGTTTTTGAACCGAATTTTGAGATAGGGTGTTTTTCAATTAAATTCTGAAATAGGGCGTTCTTGAAAAGTTTTTTAGATAGAGCGTTTTCGAACTGGCTCCCGAGATAGGTCGATCTTCCACTCAGCCATCGATATAATGTTCCAATTTTTAAACTCAAGTACTAAATAAAGTAAACATTATTAAAAATTACTAACTTTTCCCTTTTTTCATTTACCTAAGTAACTTAATTTACTTGCCTGATTGTTTCTTAAAAATACTTGACATCCGCATTAGCATTCGCATCCGCGGATGTTTTAAATTTCACATTCGCAACATCCCTAATACATATATGAACAATATATATATGAACAATATACCTGTATAAATAAAGCATTAATTTTGCATATTTCCAGGGGAAATATGATTTCTGTGGACTTACTGATTCTTTATACAAAGATTTTGTATGATAGGACCCCTAGTAAAAATTGTATGGCAAATAATTTTCTAGAAGATTTTAACCCTCAGCGATACTCAAAATGCCATTTTATTCCGACTTTCTAAAAAAGGGCCAAAACTACCCTTTTGTGAGGGAGATAAAGGGTTAAAATGTTCTACAAAATTATTCCACGTAAAATTTTACTATATGTCCCGAAACATATTTTTTTCCGATATGTATTTTTACTCTTTTTAATTTATTCTAAAGACACTTAGGCAAAATATTGCTTAATAGAATCGATCTCTATAAATTTTTTGGTAGGTAGTTTTTATGAGTTTTATGATGTCTGATGTTAAAAAATTTTGAGTTATTGTCAGCCGTGCGTGTAGAGCATCTTTTGCTGCTTTGTCGGCTAGTTCGTTGCCTTGATAGTGGATTTATGTTTAATTAATATGTTTTTATATGACAATGTAATGGTTGTGGTTTAATAATAATAATAATAGATTGGCGCTTACACATATGTTAGTGTTTCGCCGAGCTTCTCCTCCGATTTGTGGCGTGCGCCTTGATGTTGTCACACAAAGCGGGGGGACCTACAGTTTTACGCCGACTTCGAACAGCGATTGTATTTTTATGAGAAGCTGTCTTTCATGGCAGAAATACACTCGGAGGTTTGCCATTGCCTGCCGAGGGACGACCGCTGTTAAGAAAAAACCTTTTTTCTATATTTTTTGCGATGTTGCTTTGACCAGGGTTTGAACTCAGGCATTGCGGAGTGGAAGCGCGCACTGCTTACCACTATACCACAGCGGCCGACAATGCTTGTTGTTTACCGGGTTTGTAATTGCGTCTAGTGACGTGAGAGAGTCAGTGCAGATTGCTACTTTTCTCCTTCTTGTGCTTGCCAGTTTGGTTGCTTCGTAGATGGCTAGTAGTTCGGCACCAAAATTTGTGGTATATTATGGCAAGTGTGCTACTGGAATGATTTTGTCTTCATCGACGATGCTATAAATTGACCGATAAGTTTGTTTTGAGTAGTCTGTGTATAAAAATTTGAAGTTATGTAAGTCTTCTTTTATTTTAAGAAAGTTTTGTATGTAAATTTCGTTTGTTGTGTTATTTTTTCTTTAAACTTTCGCTGCGAGTTATTCACTGAGTGTTGTGGGAGTTGCCAACTCGGAGCTAGGGACTTGCTTAATTTTGTAAGAATTGGTACTTCTAAGTTCTGGGCAGCTTTAATCACTTTGGTTAGGGATGCCCAAATCAGCACATATGTATGTATCGCGGGCGACTGCGCGTGTAAAGCTTTGCACAGCGGTGCTGGGCAAGCGCGGAAGCAAAAAGTTATCGGAAGGGGAAAACGAAGCCAACAGAATAGTGAGATTGTATGTGTGACAGTGATGGAAAATAAGTGTGCATTGTGCCATTTTCGGCCCTTTGGGAAGCAGCCGGCACCTTCAGCACAATCTATTGATTTTCGGCACTATTTTTGCGTAACTCAATGCAACTAATAAATATTTCTTTCGGATCCGCAATTAAAAATATTTTTTTTTTACATTTAATCGTATGTGCTTANCGGAATAAAAAACAACAACGCTACTCGCGCATTCATCCATATAACATAATATGCGAACGTTCGTTATATGGAAGAAAAGCGCAACACCGCAAACAGAAAAATTCAAAAAATCAATGGTATTTTCTAGACACTTCAAACTTGCACGTTATTATACTAGAATGAATGGGCTACAAAATTGTTAACACAAAACATGTCTACAAATTCTGAACAAAAACTGTGAAAATTTGATGAAACTTTGTTGATTTTTTTCATTCTTTCAAGTTTCGATTTATTTGCAAGGTTTTTGTTTGATGATGAGCTACAATTTTATAAAAAAAAAAATAATTAAAATTATTTAGAAAAAATAAAATAAATACCGGGTGACCGTGTAATTTTGTCAAAGATAAAGACAATGATGATAAAACATTAATACACTATATAGGTCAGTTCATATTAATGAACATAAAATAAGATCACTATCGATAAAATGGAAATCCTCAAGGGAAATTTATAATTTCAACGCATGGAATTTACATACATTTTTTTATCTTCAACCCCCGAATTGCTCAATTACTTCTATTTCTGCAGGATTGCCATTAGGTAAATTGCATTTCCAAAGATTTTTTCTAAATAAATAGCGATGAGGGATATTTCACCCGCCAGTGATAAGAAATCGCAATCACCATAACGCACATCACTAATATTACTGTTCACAATCACGTTTACATTCAAAATTACAATTCATAATTTCGTTTTGTAGCAAATATGAAATATAGGTATATCCATTTACTAAAATATAAACGGATTAAGAATCAAAGTGCTAGAAGAGATTTGAGCGTTTGGTACAAAAAGTATTTTTGATGGTGAAATTGTACTTAAAATCGGCAATTGTACTTTTGTACATTTTAAAATTAATTGTACTGAAAAAAGTACAATTGTACTTAAAATATCAACACTGTTTCACTGGCGCTGTACTTGCTGCAGCGATGCCAGATTTGAGCGTACCCAATTTTTTACCGATAATAACTCATGCGAGGGATTTGGGTATTGGGCATTTTACAAGCCTATTAGGAAGTATACATATCTGTGTTCGTATAGAATAGTAGCTTATGTCGGAAGAGTGGCTTTAGTATAATGAACCATTCGCAGCATACGATTGCGAAAGACTCACTGGCACCGAGTCGTTGAAGAACTCTTGGAAAATAAACGTAAAAGACGGTAATGTCAATATTCGTATAAAGTTTCATAAAAAAATTCCTTGTGGTTTAAAGAATATAGGAAATGGTACATTTTACTAAAGCCAGCGTCCCGACATAAGCTACTATTTCATACGAACACAAATATATTGGTCTACAAATAATGTTGTAATGTGGTTAAAATTCAAATTGGTATCTTGTTCTTGTAGAAAATCATCAGCGTATCCGAGGAAGTCAATTTCTTTGTGGAGGGATAAAGGGTTACTTAGTTTGCTGTAGGCTATTAGGAAAAGAATGACGGAAAGGGGGGAGCCTTGGGCAATGCCGTTTTGGAGAGTAAGGTTCTGAGAAAATTGTGATTCTATTTTGACTTTGATGTTTCTATTTGTCATGTAGTTTTTTATGTAATTGTAGATACTAGGTCCAATATTTCATGCGTTAAACTAAAAACTCCCTTTTTTGAATTCCATTTGATGGCTGTTAAGAAGTTTGTTACTGGAGACAAACCACCAAAGCCTATTTGCAGTGATTTTGTCTAGCACTTTGGAGCAGCAAGGGTAAAGTGAGATTGGACGGTAGGAAGCTAGAATTGTTTTGTCGGAGTTTGGTTTTGGTATGGGGATGATAAGACAATTTTTATATATTTGGGGAATAAATCCTGCGAATATTTCGTTGTTTAGATTAATCAGTCGGTTTTTTACTGTAGCTGGTAGGTGTTTAATCTTGGGTAGGAAATTCTATCTATTCCCGGGGTTTTACCTTTCAGTAAGTTTAATGCCATATTTAGTTCTATTAGATTAATTTGTTTATCGATATACAGAGCTGATTTGATCGGATTAGAGGGATTGCTTCTAGATAAGGAGTTTTGTTTGTGGTGAAGAAATGTTGATGAGAATGATAAGTCCTGTGCTTCCTTTGACCAAAATTCTGCAAATTTGTTAGCTATTGTCGATTTGTCTGTGATATAGTTTTGGTTGGATTGGGATAGACTAATTGCATGGATTGGGTTATAGGGTTTAAGTCCGCAGAATATCCGATTGTTGACCAGACCTTTTCTGGTGGTGTAAAAGGGTTAATGCTTGAGGTGAAATTATGCATTGAGGATGATTTTGATATTTTTTTTTCGCGTTTGAATAATGCGTTCGATTTTTATACCCGAGCGCACTTGTGCACAAGGGTATATTAATTTTGTTCACATAACGGTTGTTTGTGACGAATCGAGATAGATATAGACAAATGTATACATAAATGCTCAGAATGAATAGAGAAGTCGATTAAGCCATGTCTGTATGTCCGTCCGTGTACACGATAACTCGAGCAAAAATTGAGATATCTCAACGAAATTTCGTATTTAGGTTTCCATTAATCCAAGGTAGGTTGGTATTGAAAATGGGCGAAATCGGACTGTAACCACGCCCATATAACGGTAATTTTCAGAGATACGAAAACTGCGATATTTTAGTAACTACTGAAGATTATTCACTCAAAATTGATATTTACAATAAATTTTAGACGAAAAATAAGAATGTTATGAATTTTTGGAAAATGGGCGTAGCCATGCCCACTTATGGTTACATGTGTATATCTGGTAACATCTGAGCCAATTTCTTCCAAACGTTGTTGGCCTTGGTACAGCATACCAAATGGCCGAAAATTTTTAAAATCGGACAATAAACACGCCCACATCCCATATAACGGTTATTTGGAGAAATACGAAATCTTCGATAAATCAGTAAATATTGAATATAATTTATTCAAAATTGATGCTTGCAATAATTCTTTACCGAGAAATACGTTTATGTTAAAATTTTGGAAAATGGTCGTAGCACCGCCCACTTATGATCACATATATGTATATCGGTAACCGTTCTACCAATTTGTACCAAACTCGGTATTTTTATTGTGCTTGCCACATAAAAGCAAAACGTTGAAAGGTATTGAAATCGGACTAAAATTACGGCCGCTTTTCAGAAATGCTTGAAACTGCAATATTTCGAAATTTAAGGACGCTAATTTACTCTAAATTGATACACCCCGGCTTACCATCTAGTGGTAGGTTTCGAAAAAGCGAAAAAACATATATTTCGCTAGCTTAGAGTGAAAAGTTGCTAAGTCCACTTTTAATGAAAACTCATATTTTCATATAGGAGGCTAGAGAAATTGAATACGCATCGTTTCGAAAATTATAAAGGTACTTGTTTTATTTTTTCCTCTTCATAAGCAATAAAAGGAAAACTTGCTAAGTCCAAAAGAAGCACCGCAAATCCGATAAGGCCAAAATAATACGACATCTTTTAACAAATATCGAAACCTTCTGATTCTTATGGAGTTTTGCTTTGCTTTAAACGCGCAAAATGTTTGATTCAAAGTCTTGCGAAATAGTTAAAGAAAATCGTTATAGGAAGATTTTTTCCTCTGGTGTAAAATTTTTAAAATGGGACTTAGCAACTTTTCTTTCTAAGCTAGCTATTTAATACTTACGCCGGGTATTTAATGTTCGGCTCCGCCCGAACTTAGACTTTCATACTTGTTTGAATTTATCAATATTTTTTAATATTTTTTCTATTTAAGATGTTTCGAAGTCGATTTCTTTCTTTTTTTAAATCATCTAGCTTTTTGTTCCACCAGGAGACTATATTTCGTTTTTTAGCTCTAGATTGGGGGATAGATTCCTTCGCGCTTTGGATTATTATTTTTTTAATATTTGCAGTTTCTTTGTTGATTTTCTTATTTTTCTCTTTGTGCATAAGTAACTAGATAGTGAACTGAAATTTTCCCAGTTAGCTTCATGATACAAAAAAGAAGGTAGTATCATTGTCACTTTTCGGACGCCATATTAGCTACCTGACAATTAAACAGTAATCAATAATCAATAATCATTTATATATTGTGAAAAAATTATTTACAAAATTAAAAGGAAATTTGTCTTCGATCTGAGCAATAACGAAAATTGAAATTCATACATCGCCATTTTTGAAAAATAACCAACCAACCACCGCAAAAATTAGTTGTTATTAAATTCGCTTGTTCTAAAGCCAATCACCGAAAAGGATTTGGATGTGCTTTGCAAACGTTAGTCCAGGTAAGGCTTTAATTTCGGCGCCTGATGATATGAAAGATAATATAGTTATGGACGATAGGTCGATTGAACTGGCACCCAGAGTTTGGAAGTAAGTAGTTAGAAGGCAGCCCAATGCCTTAAGTGCAGCTTGTCTGTCACCGCAGACATGAAAACTCCTTCCCCTCCACCTATTTTTCACCACGTAGTCCATGGCCTTGAGGATTGTAAATATCTCAGCCTGGAAGGCCGAAGCATACTTCCCAAGAGAAAAGTTAATCTTATCCCCATTAACTCCGATGGAGACCTCAGATCCTGATCTAGAGTCAGTTTTGGAGCCATCAGTGAAGATTCGATTATGTGTGAGTCCGGGGGCATTGCTGGTATTAAACCAGAATTCAGCCACATTATAGAATTTCTAAACCAAAGGCAGTGGTGGCGTACTATCCTGTGACAAGTGCTCAGATCTCTGCCGCTACCAATTTCCGCCTCGCCCCACTCAGTGTTATACCGGCATCCGTTTCTTTCTAGTCTGCAAGTGGCCTTTAAGACGGTAAGTACAGCAGTGCATCTAGAGCAGCGCCACGTGTAATCGAGAAAGCTTCCGTACAGCACACTGCAATAGTTTCTTTGAAGTTTTGCAAGCAGACTTCCCACGCTCTTAACTGAGAATCTGCTCCGCCATACCACTGACGCATAGCTAAAAACCTGTTTACATTGCCAAAATGCTGCCGATTCCTTAGAGGTTTTGTGTTCCACGTTAGATTTCCACGATAGTTTTGTATACAGAATTACTTCTAGATACTTCACTTCGGGAGAATTCTGAATTTTGGCTCCTTTAATTGTGAGGGAAATAAGACCATTCAACCTTCTACGAAGCCTGGTTTCGGACTATACTTTAATGACGAAGTATCGAACAATACATCTTTTCGGACTATTAAAAAGAGTTTTGTTATGTAAATATATTTATTTTGTTTAAAATAACATGAAAAAAATGCTTTTTAATAAATAAATGTTTCAAAACTGGATTTTATTTTATTTCTTTATCTCTGCACATCGATCTTATTCAAAGGATCATTTAAACGCTTGAGAAAAACGTTCAAATTTGATTATCGATCACATCAACTTGCTATTTTTTTATGTAAATTTTACTCTTTTATTAAATCTCAAATATTAATAAGAAAATCACCCTTTCAAAAAATTTCAATGTGGCAAAGCTATGCTTAATGTTTACATCTGGAGAAATGTCAAAAATCTGCTTTATAATAAAAAAATAGTAGTAATGAAACTACCTTCTTTTTTGTATCATGGTTAGCTTTATGTAGATTGAATTTTGGTTTACTATTTTGGTGGCTGATTGTGACATTCGGGAAGAGGCATATAATGATAGGGAAATAGTCGCTACCGAATAAGTCAGACTCTATCTCCCAGTTGGCTTCTATTGCTAAAATAGGGGACGCAAGTGAAATGTCTATGTGAGTATAAGTGTTATGGGTAGTGAAATATGTAGGGGAACCATAATTAAGGAGAGTGAAGCTCGATTGAGTGCCGAATTTATTTATTTTATTACCTCTAGAATTGTTGTAGTTAGAGCCCCAACTGGAATGCCAGCTGTTAAAGTCGCCTGTGATCAAGTGCGGTAGTTGTGAGTGATCGAAAATATCGTGAAGATTTTTAAGATTAAATGATTTACTAGGTGGTATGTAGAGCTTAGCAAGAATTTTTGTTTTGATGAGATAATAATGTTTACTATGTCAAAGTTGTGTGTGTGAAAGTTCGTTGTCATGTGTTGTACTGAATTGTGGATAAGTATTAGGGCGGGTCGAAAATCTAATTTTACTCAAATCCCTTGGTAATAATGAAAATATATTGTATCATGAAGTCAACAACAAGCCTGCAAAATATTAGTAGTTTATTTTAATTTTAAGAGCCCGCGCATCGGCCGCCAAGTGACCCACAGCACACTAGTCGAATAAGACCAATTCTTGTTAAAAATTCTGGGTTCAGCCAAAAGGTTTAGTGCATATTATTAGATAATGAATCTGTTAACGCAAAAGATAAAGTCAAATAACATTTCTCGCAGCTCTTTAGCTTATCGTTAATCTCAAAGTTATCTTTATTCAATAAATTTTTAATTGTTCTCTTGATAATTGCACTGGCCTA